AAAAAAAAAAAAAAAAAGAAAACCTTAAAGCAATGAATAAATTAGGTTTGAAAAATAGCATCTGTAGTAATTGTTTTAATAATAAACAAGAAAAAAATTATTGAAAAATTATTGTTGTGATATAGAAAAATCAAATGCATTTCTTCAATTTTTAGGTTTCTTTTGTAAGATTAAAAAAGGTTTTGATAAACAAAAAAAAGGTTTGTTTTTGTTTTTTTTTAACCTTAAAGGTTGAAAATGTTCAGTGTTCAATTATCAATACACCAATTTGTTTCTTAACATTTGTTTCTTTTCTAATTTTTTTTTTGTCTTTTCTTTTTTAAACCTAAATTAATCAAAACAGATAAGAACTTCTTATAAAATTAATTATTAAAAAAAAAAATCAAAAAAAAAAAAGAAACAAAAAATTTTACTTTTTTACTTCAAAAAAATGAAAAAAAAAGAGTTTAATTTAAGTTAGTTTTATGTGATAAAAAAAAAACAACAACAACAATTTTTTTTCTCAATTTATTGATAGTAATCAACTTTTTTTTTTGGTGATTATTCAACAGATGTATTTTAAGTGTATTGGCCTGTTTTCAGTTGTTTTTGGATCATTTTTTTTTGTCATTTCAACAGGTCATTTCTATCCAATATGCTGAGGAAATAAAAAATCAAACAGACAAATCGATTTCGCCATTCGGGTAGTTTTTAAAAAGTAAACTTTCTTAGATTGTTTTAACTGTTGTAATTTTCATCAATTCAGTTGTACACACCAAATCATTAGTTCAACAACGACAACAACAACAAAAAAAGTAATGCATGACAGAAGACAGAAGGCAAAATTTTGCACCAAAATATTGGCAATCAAAAATGATGATCGGCTATCTGTTCAACATGTTCATCTGATGCTAATGCTCCTGCTGCTGCTGTTTATTTATCAATGTATCTAAACTAAAAAAAAAAGAAAAGCACAAAAATTGTACACTGTCAATTAGTATTTTCTTCAGTTATTTGTTAGAGGTTAAATTTTTTTGCTAGTTTTAAGCACCAACAGTTTTTTTCATTTTTTTATATTTATAGAATTTTCTTTTTGTTTTTATTACCATATTTGATTTTTTTTCTTCAAACATTCAATGCTGATACTGTTGCTTCCTTCTGTCAATTGTATTCTGCACTGCTTTTTTTCAATGTATCCAACAATCAGAACTGTTGATTAAAATTTTAACCATTCAAACATTACGATCAAAATAAGTTTTTTTGTTTTTTCTGCTACAAAACTATTTGCCTTATTTGTTTTATACGAATTGTCTTTGTTTTCCCTATTCGAATATTTACGACAATCTCAATTTTTTCAGATTTTTTTCTTCTTCACTTTGAAAGAAAAAACAAAAAAAAAAAGTTGCTTATAAATTAGGAAAAATTTGTTTAGGAATTATTTATTGAG